ATCCTAATAAATGCACGGCTCGATTACGAGCGAGTAATCGGTTTGTCAAACAATCGGGACAGTTAAACCTGCTCCGAATTAATAAACCGCTCGAAACTGACCTACAACTCGTCTCCATTCCTCTCTCGGACAGCCCACATTCTACTTAATGCGACACTGTCTTTTACCTTATCTTTCACCGATCGATCCTTCCGCGCGTAAATTCCGTTAAATTCTGTTATCGCCGGGATCCGACCGAACGAAATAACGGAATAACGAATATCGTGGATTTATTACCTACAGTCGGTTTTAGAAAAAAGAAAAAAAAAAATCTTCGAAACCAATTATAATTTTGACTTCAATAATTCATAATATAACGGAATATACGGGTGTATCGTATTTTTATATATATATATATATATTATAGTTTTTTTCTATGAATAAAAAATTTTATCATCCGTTATATATATATTTTTGATTCAGAATGTAAAGGAATGTTGAAGTAAAAGAAACGGAGAATGTTTGTATGAATAAAGATAGCAAGTCACGAGAGATTTTTGTATGATGTAATATCGGTATGCAGAACATTCTAAATTTGTAACTTTGAAATTTATTAATTTATAATACGATGTGATATATATAAATATTCGTTTTATTATTCAACGCGTGCGCGCACACACACACACAATATTTAAGAAATTGTAACGTTAGATTGCGATCACACTTATTGCGTATAAAATATTATATTACTGTTGATGTTATACGATGATATGATACACTTCTTAATTAACGAAGATTTGCGAGCATATGTAGAGCATAATGGATTGCGCATGGAGTAATTTTCTTTGAAAGAAACATTTTTTTCACGTGCACGTGGAAGAAGGAAGAGAATTTCAAAGAAAAAAACTTCCCCTGAAAAGGAAGAAGAAAAAAGAATGTCGTTTCGTCGGTAAATCAGAAAATTCAAAGTTGATACAAATTTATTATACGATAAAATCGCGTGTAAAAATTTTTTTACGATAATTACTTAGGAATTACGTGATATCAACGGAAATCACGATCAGAGTTGCGATTAGATAGATAGGGAAAAAATCGAGGCGCGTTAACGAGCGATTCTCGCAAGAATCGACGTTAACGTTCGGAAGTATCGTTCCGGGCGGAAATGTTTACACTCGAGTTAAATGGAGTAAATGGAGGCTCGTAACCCTTTCGAACTCCTTCGTTTTCCCACCCGTGAACGATGCTACAACGCGGCAGAATTACGCAATCACGTTCTCCGTCACGCTTCACGGATTTTGACAGCGTGTTCCATTCATTAATTTAAATTCATCTGCATTCATTTTCGAGGGGGGAAAAAAAAAGAAAAACCTCCTTTTACATTTGTCTTCTTTTTCCTCTAAATAATTAATAATACTGTTCGTCCCATTTTTTCCCGCAATCAAATCAAACAGATCGATGACAAAAGTTCGATCGAGCGTACGAAATTAAAAAAGTAAAAGTGTTATTTTTATTTTCGCCTTTTTAAACTGGTCGTCCTCCACGCTGGCTTTTATCTGTCTAGTTTCCAATCGAGCCATTAACCATTGTCCCCCCATCGTTTGAACTTTCAAGAGTCGTCGGGGATCGTCGTTCAATTCAAATCGCGACCTTTACGATGCAGCGCACGCCGCATCACCTTCGAAATACGTGGCCTACGCATCGAGAAGCTGGATTCCACCCCGTCGTTTCCATCGTCGATGCTTTAAAAGGCTCGCGCGATTGTCTTCGAACGAAATAAATAATCGCCTCGGCCGGAGTGGAAAAGTGAGCCGTGCCGATCCCTGTTCTGGAAACGCGGAAACACGTTGCGTAACGACGAAATGGAATATAAAAGTCGAAGCAAGAAGCGGCAAAGTTTCGCGGTAAAGGGATCGCGGTGGCGCGTGTGCACGATAGTCTCGTTTGGCAAGCGGACTCGAAAACTTTCACGAGAATCGGATAATAACTCGTCCATACTCGAATAATACACCTGGCGGCGAAGAAAATTCGCTCCGAGAGAGAGGAGGAGAAAAAAAAAAAAAAAAAAAAAAAGGAAAAAAAAGGAAAAAGGAAAAAAAAAAAAAATGTCAAATGCCATCAAGCTTTCAAAGGCCCCGCTATCTGAAAACTGGTTTCGAAGGAGAGATTTCTTGTCGAACGGAGGAAACGTCGTCTGGTAATATCTATGGTAGCCTTTTACTCCAGTCGTGGGGGGAAGTCGATGAATCGATCATCGAGAGAGAGACAGAGAGAGAGAGAGAGAGAGAGAGAGAGAGAGAGAGAGAGAGAGAGAGATCAGAAACACGCGTTACGCGATATTTTTCTCTCGCTTTTAATCGCGACCTCTGAAAGATCGTCAAGGACTGTTATGCTCGCGAGAACGCGAAAAACGCGGTATCTCGCGATAAGTTGCCTCGATTTCATATCAGAGTGACGTTCACATTCGAAGCCGGCGAAGTGTCGTCTCGTTAAAGGGATTAAAAGCATTCGCGGTTTTCGATAGGTAGAAAAGCGTCGCGTTCAATATGCTACTCTCTCGTCGGGATATGCTCTTCTCCGTTATGGACAACGTCCCGTTTATAATATAAACCGACCACGTCAACTCGCCTTATCTCCCCGTCATACGCTCGTCCACTCGACCTTGCGCGGTAATCGCGAAACGATCTTCGAAACTCGAAAGATATCGCGAAGAAACGGACGATTTCCAACGTCCGATGAAGGAACCCATACGCGGGTTTTATTCCTCGCGCCCGATCCACCTTTTACTTACCATTCATTCGTCGCTAATTTTCATCCCTGGAGGAGAGATATCGCGGTGAAAAACCGGCCTCGTGTCTCTGCCCTCTGCGGTCTATCCGCCGATACACCGTACTATTCCCCGACCACGTGATCCTCCAACCTTCTTCCTCTCTCTCTTTCTCTCTCTCTCTCTCTTTCTCTAGTTGCCAGGCTAACGTCCAATCCGCCTTCTTTCTCACCGAATTTCTTGAAAATCCAATATCGCGATAGATTAAACGAGATCCAGGGATCAATAATTCGGCGTGGATCGGTGGTTCCCTGCTCGAGCGGGAAGACGAAACTCGTTGGTCGTGGATGGATGGCACGGCTCGAATCCGTGAACGAGCGGGACCGAGACCCAGCACCACCACCCGGGCACCAGCACACCAGCAACGGCCGAGGCACGGCCGAGTCGGGGAGAGGTGTCGTGTTGCGAGATGGAGCTCGATCACGTGGGCAGCACACGCGGAAATCGATGGTTCGACGTGCATTCGGGACAACGCGCCGTGCCGGACTGGCTGTTCGGTAGGCTGACTTTCTTCCACGCCGCACCGCGAATCGCCCCTTTGATTACAAACACCGTCTCCTGTCTCTGTCCACCTTTCTCTCCGCCTCGCTCCATCTCCCTCCCTCCCTATCTCTTTCTCTCTCTCTCTCTCCCTCCTTCCCTCCCTCCCTCTCCGTCCCGCTCAACCTCCTTTACCCGCGAGCGGAGAGCGCCCGTTCGAGTCCCCCCTCCCATCGCTTCTCCACCGATTTCGTCGGACCTGTCCATCGGCCTCCTCCGATTCAATCACTTGTCCCCCTCCTTCGCGTTTTAAAGAGGCTTAAGAAGTTTGATCGACGTTGTTTCGAGAGTCACGAGAGGGGATACGATGGTGAACGATCGATTTTTGAAAAGATTTTTCGAAAAAGATTCGAGCGGATAAATCGAATCCTATTTCCAGCGCCCTACCAATGCCCGAGATCGAACCAACGAGATTCTTGCCCGCGGTATTCTAGCCAAGTCGATCTAGCAACTCCCAATCGTACACGACACCTGTTCGAACTTGGAGACAAATTCTGTCTTACTCGAGATATACTGTACAACGTTCCATATTATCCCCGTATGGAGTTTCCCCATAAGGAACGAAAAGCAAGTGCACAGAAGCTCGCTCTCCTCTTCCTCTCCCCGGTCTAGTCTCGCTCGGAGCGTCGCGTCGGGCAGAGAAGAACGGAGAAGTACGAGAAACAAGTTGGAAAGAGAACGGGGAGAATGGAGAAACGCTCCTACTTCCTTCGTATCCCAGAAGTGGTGGGATTATCGCGGCGACACTCGAGTTACGTCGATTCCATTCTCACCGATATTGCGGGTAATCCTGTCAGACGTGTCCGACATACCACTGGCCCGTTTTGCAAAACCGCAAACAGACCCATCGTTGCGCGCCAACACGGCCATCCACCGTCTCTTTTCCCTCGCCTATCCCACTATTCTTACCCACCTTGCGCTCGTAGTTGTCGATTATTCGCCATCGAAGCCACTTTCGCCGGTGGAACCGCGCCGCTCGGTGGCCACGCGGCCTGCAACGCCGCGGAATGTCGGAAGTGGAATTATGCAAAAAGCCGCGGCGGAACAATGCGCGCCGAGACGATGCACGAGGATGGAGGAGGCTCGAAAGCGGCTCGACGGCCGTGAGAATGTTGCGCCGTCGCCGTTTATCAGGATCGCTGATTCAGAGGCGAGAACAACCGTTCCTTTTTTTTCGCTCGCGTTTCAAAACTCGGTGTGCCACGCGTCGAAAGGGAAATTATTCGCCGCGTATCGCGTGATCTTCTCTTTTCGATCCTTTCGAGTTCAAGCTCGCTTGAAAAACGCTTGAACACTTGGCCCAACTGCGTGCCACTGGATCGCACACACGGTGGGGCAATGTTGAAAAATCGATCGGATGAAATTTCGGGTAAAGTTATTTTCTTTATTTTGTAATTTAACTTCGATCGCGATTAAAATTTTGCCCGTCTTCTGAACAACGAATAACCTCTCGTTCGAGAGATAATACATCATACGTACGAGCTCGTTTTCAACTTTATCTTTATTGCGAATAATTCTGCTCGCGAACGGTTTTAGTGCAGACACGGCACGTAACGATTTCGTCAGAGCGCACGAACTCACGATGCTATGTCCATCCTCGTTGCTCTCGATTCGAAAAACAAGGAAAGACGTAATACGACAAAAAACCGCTCCTCCTGCCACCCTATTACTCGCGATAACTTCCCGCTAAAATTACTTTCGCTCGTGGAACCGTTCGCGTTCTATGTACGCACAAGGCAAGAAACACACGGGAAGTCGTTTATAACCGAGTTTAATGAACGCACAGTGTGCCACGACCGAATATCCTTTTTCATCGATTCAACGTCATCCATCTTACGATCTCATTCTCTTACGTTTCACACGTTTGTCCGCGAAACAATTTGAACCACGCGAGGAAGAGCGATCGCGACAATTATTATTGAAAGAAACGGTGGAAAAAAGCACGTAGCTTTCACCGCGAGCTATCGGTCGTCTTCCAACTCGACCCTCGTTCGTTTATCCTTCGTTATCCTTTTCGAGGCTCGGTTCCTCGATCCGCACTTCCTTTCGCGATTTCCTCTCGCGGTCGAGAGGAGGAGAGGGAGGGGAATTGCTGGCAAAACGACGATTCGTCGAACGGGAGTTACGGGCCTCTGGTTCGTTTTAACGGTATATCTCCATTGCGCGCGAAGATCTGGGTTGCTGGCGCGACGCGCGTGCGCGCGCGCGCCTGTGATTTCGCTTGCCGCGAGGCCGATCATTACGAGACTCGTTTCCTAGTCGATTCAACGTTTCTCCAACTTCGTGGACCATTTATAATAGAGTTTTACAATAAAGTTACAAGTTTTTTTTATTTGCGTCTCATTTATAAATCGTTGATCGATTACTTTCGGATTATTGCAATTACGTAATTTTGAAGCATTTTTCGGATCAATATTAAAATACTTTTTTTTACTCATTTAAAATTATTATACGTTCCATTGATCTTATTGTATCATCGTACATCTTCGTTAAGAGGTTCGAAAATAATCGAATGTTTCGTGTGACGACGGTGAACGATGAAATCACGACACTATTCTCGCCGCGTAATCGTCATCGCGTGTGCGGTTAACTTTTACGTAATAATGCAGGGAAGCGTTTACAGGGGACCGAGCGAGCCATTATTCGCGGAGGTCGAAAGTGGACGAGGCCGAGGAAAAACGGTTTTCGTGCCGAAATCGGGCGCGTAACCAGGCCGATCACAGCTCGCTTAGCAATTACCGATTCCGGAGCCCAGGCTGGAGTCGCGTGGAACGGGCTGCGAACCGCTCCTCGAGCAACGGTGCATAGGCGTCGCGTGCCAAGAATTCCTCCGTGGCGTTACGTTTCTTGCCCTATCCACTTCCTTTTAATTCTCAGTTTTCTGCTCCCAATTCTTCTCAATTGGGAAAATTGAGAAGGCTACTGGAAGCTAGGATTAATCCTTTCGTTCGCAAATCAAAACTCCTCCGATGATCAGATATCTGATGATCATTTGTACGTCGATCGACAAGTTGAAAAATTATTAGAAAATAATATATCGGATTAGGTAACAACACGATGATACGATGTCTTTAAAATCCAACGGATACGATATGTATAATTTTTATCAAGGGGAAAGTTTTAAAAATGCAGTAGCAAAAATATATAAATGAGTGGATTAGTAATATTCGATATTGAATATTAATATTCGATCACGGAAAAATGTTGCTTGTCAGAAATCTCTAATCGCATCTAACGGTAGATATTTCTAATGAAGCGATATACGTGCGTGACACGTGATTCAAATTTCATACGATTTCACTTCTTCCTTTACCTTCGAGCTACCTTCTAGATCGAGGTACCGCATCTCGTTATCTCTCGTTCCTCTTTCTCGCTAAGCTAAGCGCTCACGTTTTCATAAGACGACGACGAAACGAAAAGGCCTCGTTCGTACTTTCGCGAAAGCGAATCTTTTTTTCGCGAATCAGCCTCTGCTCTCCCCCCTCTCTCTCTCTCCTCTGAGAGAGAGGCTGCCGCCTCCGGCCACGAAGCTAAAGGTATGCGGCAGGTGGCTTTCCGCTGGTAGGAGTCGGATGAGCGCGCGCGCATCCATGCACCTTCGAACGAGGACAACGATCTCTGGCGCGCACGTTTTGGAATCGTATCGGTGTACGCCCTCCATCCACCTCTCTCCCTCTCTCTCTCTCTCTCTCTCTCTCAGTATTCTCATTGCCATCGCACTGTTCCACTCGATCGGAAATTAATTTAACCGCGTCTCGACCTCGAATGGAGCATGACCTTGATAACCGCGTCCGTGATTTCACGACACGGTGTATCCTTCGAATAACTAAGCCCCTCGTTAACGCTGCTTTCGGAACGTTCGGCGTAAGGTTTCGACTTTCGTTTCGTTCCAACTGATATTTCTACTAAGAACCGTCCTCTCCTTTTTTTTTCTCGTATCTCGAATCTCGGAGAGGATCTCGAGGAGAGGTTTCCAACTCGAAAGGTGTTAACGAAAAAAAAAAATATTTCCCTGGAAACGACTCGTTTTCAGGGGTTAACGAACCTGAAATTTCGCGAGAGGAGGAGGCAGGCAGCGAGAGAGAGAAAGAGAGAGAAAAGGTGGTCGAAAGGGAGATGGGACGCGAGGAAGAGAGGATCGGAGTCTTCTTCCTCCTCTTCCTGACCGGTGTGCAGGAACGGAGAGATAAAATTGGAGACTGTTCTGGGAACAGGTAATAACGGTACCTGCTCGTCCAGTCCATCTCGATCTAACTCTCGAAACATCGAACTTCTTCGATGTTTCCCATTTATTTCGACCGATTTAATCCCGAAATCTCTCGTTATGAATCTCGTGTGAAAAG